CTAATAGCTACTTGCACAAATGCAACAGACACATTAGTGTCTGTTACATCACTCAACCAATATTTATTGAGTGCTTACAGTGTGTCACGTACAAGGTGTGGCTCTTCCCAAATAATAGACCTTCACAAGAGGTGTCTGTCATTATATGTTTGATAAAAAGAACTAAGGATTGCACCAGTTTTAGACTACATATTTTGGCCCCGACTGCTGTGGCTCAGTTGGTTAGAGCATTGTCCCGTACACCAAAAGGTTGTGGGTTGGATTCCCAGTCAGGGTACATACCCTCGATGCCTTTCTCTTTCTCTCAAATCAACAATAAAAAGAAATGCTAGACTATATATTGGGTCGGCAAATAAGTAATTGCGGGTTCCACACATATATGGCTTCAGTTGAATTTTTAGGTTTGCAGACGTAGTACAAATGTAAAACACATTTTGTTATTTGATAGTTGGCTATTCAGCTGTTAATCAGTAAAAAAAGTTTTTTGATCTGTTTTGTAGTTTTCGTTTGGCGTTCGTTGAAAAATGGAAAATCAAAAGGAACATTTTCGTCATATTTTGCTTTTTTATTTCCGCAAAGGGAAAAACGCATCGCAAGCTCATAAAAAGTTATGTGCTGTTTATGGTGACGAAGCCTTAAAAGAACGGCAGTGTCAAAATTGGTTTGCCAAATTTCGTTCTGGTGATTTTTCACTCAAAGATGAAAAATGCTCTGGTCGTCCAGTTGAAGTTGATGACGCCCTAATCAAAGCAATAATCAATTCGGACTGTCACAGTACAACACGTGAGATTGCAGAGAAGCTTCATGTATCACATACATGCATTGAAAATCACTTAAAACAACTTGGCTATGTTCAAAAACTTGATACATGGGTTCCTCACGAACTGAAAGAATCACAGTTAACGCAACGCATTAGCAGCTGCGATTTGCTAAAGAAACGTAATGAAAATGACCCATTTTTAAAACGACTGATAACTGGCAATGAAAAATGGGTTGTTTACAACAATATCAAGCGGAAAAGATCGTGGAGCAGGCCAGGTGAACCAACTCAAACAACATCAAAAGCTGATATTCATCAAAAGAAGGTTTTGTTATCAGTTTGGTGGGATTACAAAGGAATTGTCTACTTTGAACTCTTACCACCCAACCGAACGATCAATTCTGATGTCTACATTGAACAACTAACGAAATTAAACAATGCAGTTGAAGAAAAGCGGCCCGAATTGACAAATCGAAAAGGTGTTGTAGTCCATCATGACAATGCAAGGCCACACACATCTTTGGTCACTCGGCAAAAATTAATGGAGCTTGGTTGGGATGTTTTGCCACATCCACCATATAGTCCTGACCTTGCACCATCTGATTACTTTTTGTTTCGATCTTTACAAAACTCCTTGAATGGTAAAAATTTCAATAATGATGATGATGTCAAATCGTACCTGATTCAGTTTTTTGCTAATAAAAACCAGAAGTTTTTTTAACATGGGATTATGATGCTGCCTGAAAGATGGCAAAAGATCATTGATCAAAATGGGCAATACATTACATAATAAAGTTATTTAGTTCCATGAAAAAATTGTCTTTGATTTTCTTTAAAAAATCCGCAATTACTTAGCTGCCGACCCAATACTTTGCTTAGTTCAAATCTCATGGTCCCTTTCCTCTAAGAGATACAAGAGACCCTATTTTTAAGTAAGCTATTTCTATACATTGTTGAGGTCACCATAAACTATACAAAGTATTTATAAGACAGTGCAAAATGGACCTCACAAACTTTTCACTGTTTAGATCTACAAAATGCCTCCCTCCACATGCTTGTTCCCCAGACTTCAAAAGGGGGTCATAGGATCTCATACTTTTGGTCAGTTTAACATATGTACTGAGCATTAAGTGACGACCAATAATTCAATATTTTCAAGAAATTTCATTGGAAGAAGAAACATAAATTGAGTTTTTCATTGGCAACTTGCGATATCTCACTTACATGGTCTGCAACTGTAAAGGCAAGGCAAGGGAGATGAAGCGCATGGGAGAGCTTTAAAACGAGCACTCTCCTTTCCAGTTTGTCCTCTAAGCTTTGTGTATATTCCCTAGGCTGAGCAGACACTGTCAGAAACCACAGAAGTGACTTTAATCCAGTTCTAATTGCTGGTGAGGGGAAAAAAAATGCTCTGGTGGTTTAGAGGAATGGAGAAAACTAAATCAAGATAAGGAAACACACTAAGCAAGTTATTCGCTAAATTGGTTTACATTAGGCTCACCAATAGATTTTCTTTTGGGCATGTCCAAGAGATGCAAAATTTAAAATGTAACTAATACCATCTTACCAGGGATGCATCTTGTGCCAAGCACTGGGTAGAATTTCCCTGGGGGAACTACAGAAGCATGAACAGTTTGGTTCTGCCCCATTGCAAGAAACTAACTGAATGAATGAATGGGTGGGTAAATGGATGAATTAATGAATAAATGGTTAGAAAAGCATTTAAAAATACAACGACAGTTTATTGATGGTTTTTCAAGGTGAAGATATAATCTTAAAGAAGAAAGAGAGAAAGGAAACAAATCTTTAATTTTTTTTATAACAGCCCTTTTGCTACTGTAATGAGTAGGGAGGCCATTTCCCTAAGACTGTGAGAGTAAACACCATTTTCATGAAATGTGCCTTTCCCTTCCCTGGTCCATAAGTGTTTCCCATGACTCTGCAGTTGAGTATCTTGGCTGAGAGAGGACATGGCCATTAGAAAGAGGGCTCTAGATATGTTGAGCCCCAGCCGTGCCGAGAGACTTGGCACCTTCCTATGCTACTTGCTAATATCAGCCCCAGCATAAAATGTCATCAGAAGCCTGCATAAACATTGGACTTAGATTCACATAAATTATTTCTGTCCTAAGGTGCTGGATGCCAGAATTTAGCAAAAACAGCACTTTGAGTAAATAGAATTGGCATATAAATGTGAGAATATTAATCCAACAAAATGATCGTAGAAAAATACTATCAAAAGTACACACTTGTAAATCTTGCAATGATGTGAGAGGTTTATCTCATGCCTCTGAGTTTTTATTGAATATTTCCACAGAGTTCCTTTAAGCGGAAGCTGCCAAGGTGCTTTGAATGATCAGCTTCTTTGTGGAATTGTGCTCTTTGAGTTGCATTAAAATGCTTAGAAATTATTTTAATAATCAGATGTGTGGTTAGTGCCTGCTTAGTACTGGATCTACAAATTCATTTTAAGAGTAAACATCAGGACAATGAAATATAATGCCAGCTTTGATTGCTCCTGTCAGCAAAAATATTGTCTTATTTTATTAAAACCCCAACAAAATGCCATGAGCAAATGATAGAGTGTCTACTTGCAGATATTTCCCACTCTACAATATTATGGTACCTGCACACCACAGGGCTGCACTAGCAGAATTGTTATCTTGCCTGAGATACGCACTTAAACAGAGGTATAGAGCCTTTTTTCATATGTGCACGCATCTTATTAGGTACAGGTTTCCCCAAAGCCCTATTTGGATTTCTGCTCTAATATAACAGTGCTCTCACCGTAGGTGCTGAGTATTTATAAGTGAATGAAGATTTCCTGAAAATGATTATTATTTAGCTATTGGCAATAATAACATTATAACATTTTCAGTGATCCATTTTGGCTTTAAGTACTTATTAAATAATATTTATTCCTCAAATATGTACTTGCAAAATTAAATGAGAGTGCACCATGCAATAAAAACGCATTTCTCTCTCAACCTGAATTGACTCCATTCCTCACAGATATCTCTCCTCGTGTTCATCCTGCTTTTTACTGTTTTCTACTATCACTCTGAACTCTCTGCTGTTCTCTCTGATGTGTTGATATGCTTTTCCCCAAAGCCATTCTCTTTATCCACTTTCCCTACCCACTCGTCCCCTTCTTGTTATTCTCCATTCCCCACTGACACGGGAATAATAGGATCCCAAGGCTGTCCTTACACTATAATTAAAGTATGAATTTCCAGGAGTTGAAAATTGCAGACCATTTTTATTATGCTACTATAATAAAGCCAGGTAACACTGAGAGAATTAAAATAGCTTTGTCCTAGCAGATAACTTGGTAAAGATTTTTTTTCTCCTTGGTTCTATTGTTTGAAGAGAGTGGGAGCTGAAAATGGGAATAGATTCACCAATTCTTTTTTTCTGAAAACACCTCTATCTTTTACGTGATATATATCCCCCTAGTTCCTGGGAATATGTTGTAAACTTGTAACAGATGGTGATGAAGCTTCATATTTTTATATAATACTTTTTTTTTTTTTTTAGATTCTGCATTTACTGTATGTATCTTCCAGGGAAAATGACCTTGAAGGAATGAAGTCATAGTCTGAAGGAAAAACACCTCACAGATAGACTCGCATAGCAATGATGAGTCAGTTGGGTTTTGTTTTGCTCCCCTCATGAGATGAAATAATATCAGATGAAAAACAGAATGTTGAAATATGAGGATCAAAGGTCATCTTAACACTGGAGGTGCCTCTGTTAATTGTTCCAGGAAAACCAGTTAGCTGCATTCTGACTGAACCAGAAACACATGGAAGATGGAATAGCACTGTTTGCAAGTAGAAATGCTATTTGCTTCACTTGGGTAATGTTGGGGCCTTACCAAAAATCGTTCTGGCACAACGTCTACCAGCATGAATGTTAGGCGGGTTCTAACACTCGGAGTGCTGATATTTTATGAATGTTTTATCACTGGCTTGAAAACAAGAAGTTTGCAATTGAATCAACAACATGTCATACAGACAAAATATTAAAAAAAAAAAAGAACATTAGTGAGAATTACTGATGTCCCTATTGTAAAAACAAACTGAAGTTAATAAGAAACGTGATTCTCTTAACCGATTCACCAAAGTCAGGTTTTAATAGCACAGCTTCCCAGGCAAACCCAGTGGCACGATGAACTTGAGCATGGGTTGTGTAGCATGTGTAGTAAAGGGGAGACAGGGCTGCATATTCAGTTACCCACCTCTTTTTTCCACAGCTTCAATGCACTGCTTTACGAATCGTGGAACTGTGGAATTTTCACGTTCACACACTGTGTGCAGATGAGAGCCAAAAATTTGATCTGCAAAAGAAACAAAGATGAGCTTCATTAAAATCCAAGCTTGTGTTGTTCTTTAATTTGATTCTGTTTCCTTATCCACTGCATGATGGAATCTGCAACTTGCATAGGAATCAATTTTTTGCTTTAATTCCAGGTGTCTGTTGCAGACATGCAAAGACTATAACTCTGTCCCTTATGGAATAGGACCCAGGTCCAGAGAAAGAAAACCAACAGTGATTAGGTAGGGGTGCCTGAGTGAATTATAGTCTCTCTGGTTGTTTATAAAATATAGTCTCTCTTAACTTGGTTGTCTATAAAATAATGACAAAGAATTAAGTACATTTCTGTAAAATAATAGATCTTAATGAACTGACGTCTTGAGTGTTTTAGAAGAATTTTCCAATGCTCATCAAAGTTATGATTTTGTCAGTATACTTAGAAAATTCCTTCTGTGGCTCAATGATATTTAAGGAGGCAAGTGCCAAGAGACTTAACTTAAAAGTGAATTTCTAAACATTTCTCCTGCCTTGAATGCCCTTCTCTAATCTAAGTGTCCCACTTCCTTTTGGGCTCAGCCCAGAGAGCACTTTCTCCACAAACTCTATCCTTCACATCTCTGCGTTGTGGCTCCAGCAGCACAGGCTCTCTGGAATACCAGGTCCTTAGGATATTAATAGGTGATGTGAGGGAAAGGGCTGTGGTCAACATGGTTTAGCAACATGGGGTTAAACAAAGTTAAACACTTTCTTTTTGGATAGCTGTTTTAGAGCTTGTGATGTGCCAAGGGCCCCTGGGAATCTCTATGAGGGGCCTGAGGACTCACCATTTCCCACACTATTCGATAATTTCAAAGAGCATATCTCTAGACTAGAGGTGTCAAACTCAATCAGAGAAGGGGCCAAAATCTAAAATCCAGCCTAAATCAAGGGCCGAATGGTTTACTGAACAGTCATAAACTGTCATTGTGATGGAAACGCAGCGGAGTGCAGTGATGACAGCGCGGTGCGGGCCACATTGCAAGGCCTGGCGGGACAGATTTGGCCCGTGGGCCTTCACAAGGCCTTCACATTCGGCCCACGATTTAGGCTGGATTTTAGATTTTGGCCCCTTCTCTGATTGAGTTCGACACCCCTACTCTAGACTAATGTTCCAGAGAGCACACTAGATGAAATCCTAGCCTAGCCCTCTCATTTAGAATGTGATTTATGCTACCTTGTGTTGTGTATTTACATTTATAATATATGAAATACATTTTCTCAGAGGAGATCCTGAGCGCCTGCATCATCCATGTGTTCTTAGAGTCACAGTGCTTTGCACAGATTCTGGCCCACAGGATTCCACTACAAAACTGGAAATTGTGGTAAAATATATATAACATAAAAATTTACCATTCTAAACATTTTTGAAGTGTAAAGTTCAGTGGCATTAAGTGCATGTATATTGTTGTACAATTGATACCACAAATACATTTGCAAAACTTTAAAAAACAGCATAAATGTTTAATACCGATAGAAACAAATATTTAATAGTTTCAAAGGCTTTCCTTCTTTCTCAGAATGAAATCTAATTCCCTATCCCAACTTATAAGGCAGCTCAAGTCTAGACCTTCCACCCATTAATTGATTTCATTTGTTCCCCCTCTCCCCTGCATCACTTGGCTATGGCTTCTCTTCCCATACTGCTGATCCTTGTCCACACGTCTGCCTCTGAAGTCTGCACTTATTATTTCCTCTACATCACATGTGTCAAACACAAGGCCCGCGGGCCAAATCCGTCCCGCCAGGCCTTGCAATGTGGCCCGCACTGCGCTGTCATCACTGCACTCCGCTGCGTTTCCATCACAATGACAGTTTATGACTGTTCAGTAAACCATTCGGCCCGCGATTTAGGCTGGATTTTAGATTTTGGCCCCTTCTCTGATTGAGTTCGACACCCCTACTCTACATGGAACTCTATTGCTCTAGGTCTCTGATTAAATGCCACCTTCTGATTGTAACCTTTCCTATCTACTCTTAAAAAAAACTGGCCACCCCTGCCAACAGGAAGTCTCCAGGTCACTTCGTTGCCTTACTTTTCTTAGAGCACTTCTCCCCACCTTACTTATTAAATACAGTTGTGTATTTACTGGTTAGTAGCTCATTTTGCTTAGAATGTAAGGCTCAGGGAAGTAAGAACTATATCTACTTCTTTTATTATTGGATCCCAGTAACGAAACAATGTTTGGCATATACTAGAATTTTAATAAACAGTCATTGAATGGTTGCCTGAAAGACATTAATTAGTGGAGATTTTCAATGAATTTAAAAGTTATCTTTAGCAGAATGGAGGAGAAAATATAAAATGCAGCGTAATAGAAATCTAACTACTATATTATTACAAAGGGATAGTCAAAATGGAATGTGGTGAAACTTCAAGGAGGTCATGATTCTCATCCATTTGTTAGGAAAGTGATGTCTTGAAGTTGTGACAACCCAGCAGGGAGGGAAGTGATTAAGGCTATAGAACTAATACTATTGTACTACAATATGGAATTGTGCATTTTCATACAAGAGACAGAAAGTTCAACATGCCTCAACCTAGTGCAGAGAGTGGAAAATAAAAGTTATGTTAAAAAATAGTGAGCTATCACCATAAAGAAGAATGACATAAAATATTAAGAAAAATAACCCAGAACTTCAGATACAATAATTTACTTTGGTTAGATTTATAATCAGAAATAATTGCTATAAATTATAAACTCCTTTAATGAAAATCATAATCCAGATCAAGTTCACAAATATTTATTAACTTCTATCATTATAGCAATGAGGTAGGCATATTAAATAGTAAAATAGAAATCAAGAATTTATAATCTTACTAGAGGCCATATTCTTCTTCATGGAAAAATAAGACATCCCCTGAAAATAAGACCTAGCGCATATTTGGAAGGGCAAAAATTAATATAAGACACTGTCTTATATTGGAGAAAACAGGGTATTTATAATGCTCATCTCCTTAAATTAGATTTATATATTTAAATCCTTTGCTATGAGACTATGTGGTATAACTTACTACAGTGAGCAACTTTTATTTCCTCAATGTCTTTATGTTGGGTGCGGCCATATAACTTGCTTTGGACAATACAGTGTTGAGTAGAAATAATAATGTTTCAGTTCTAGACTGAGACCTTAAGATACAATATAGACTTCTACTTTCCTACTTACTTCCCTGCTTTGGCCCAGACAAGAGCTTCCCTGGGTAACTACTTGACCTTTTAGTCTGGTTCCAGAACAAATACATGTGGCACAGAACAGAAAGTGAGGAGTCAAGGGCAGTCTGATCTATAGTTCAGAGAAAAACTTTTCAGTCAAGCCTGACTTAAACTCACAGACAGATGAGAAATGAATGCTTTTTGCTCTATGCCATTGAAATTTTGTGTTTGTTCATTATGCAGCAATAGCTAATTGATGAAGATGATAGCAGGTATCAGTCTGTTTTGTTTTTTGGGTTTTTGTTTGTTTGTTTTGGTGATCTAAGCCATGCTGTGAAAATAAAAAAACAAAACAAAACAAAAACATTACAAAAAAACAACAACAAAGAGGGTTGATAGAATATGGAAACAAACTGGAAAGAAAATAGAAAAAAGTAATTCTAAATTTGCTAAGAATGTGGAATTACACATCAGTTTAGATTCAACCATAAAGAAGAGCCTCAAAGGAAATTATTCTCATCTGAAAATCTAAACTCATTATGCCTCACTTAATATGATGGCACTTCTTATTCTGTATTCTCCCCAGATCAATTAATTTCTATAGAATTCAAGTCAGTTAGTATTTCGTGAGCACCTACCATATGCTGGGTGCTATGAAGGATGCAGATAGTAATCCACTCATTCAGCAACTATCTATTAAGGCCCACTATGGACCAGCCACTGTGTTACAAACAGAAAAGGCAATGATGCGTGAAGCATGATCTCCCACAGCCAGGGGTTGGGGGGCTTGGGAATAACTCACAAACACTTATAATGTGATTAGTGCTAGTGCAAGGGTGTGTGATCATAATAGTGAAGATTTACTGTTCACTTATAATAAGCCAGGCAAGGTTCAAAGTACTTTACATAGTCTAACTTACTTAACCCTTTATACCAATTCTCAACCCTTTCATAGTAGATACTATCTTCTTGATTTTAGAGGAAAGGAAGCTGAAGCATAAAGACAGTGAGTCTTTTGTCTACAGTTACAAAGCATCAGTCTCTATGAAAGAAATAAAAAAGGTAAGGGCAGTTTTTTTTTTTCCTTTTGATTTGAACATCAACGTGAAATAATATGATGCTTGGAACTACTGCAGACCACAGAAATTAGGGGTGAGTCATGGAATTTTGTTTACTGGATGCAGGAAGTAAACCAACTAATCAGACAAAGAGGGTTTTAAAATTTCTTATTTGTTTGAAGGAGACTGAGATGCAGAAATCTGATGGTTTAGAAAATAGTGAGACTGATATTTCTAAGTTAAGACAAGCATTTCAGATGCAGCAGTATGGTGATGGGCCAAAAGATGAAACATTCTCATTGGATTTTGGCAATTCAAAGGCTGTTGATGACCATAAAGAAAAGAGTTTAGTAGAAGAATGAAACTGAAAAGCAGATGCTTGTGGCCAAGATTTGAAGAGAAAGTGGGGATGTAGAAACAGCTAAGAGACTCCTTTATTAAGAAGTTTTGTGCTGTGAACTAATTATAAGGAAAGACTGGACCTGGGGGAGAACTTGACTTGGGGTGAATAGGAGAGAATTTCCATTGCAGGGTATTTTTGATTGTCATAGTGCTCTGAAGGGTGAGGTGCTACAAGACCAGCTATTTTCAGTTGCTATAATGGGGGAGGTGCATTACTGCCACATACTGGGGGGTCCAGGCAAGTGCAGGCAATTCCTCACAGTGAAAAACTATCCCTCCCTGATTGCTAATAGCACCCTGGTGGGAAAGAAGCCTAGATTTACTGCACTTCATTAGATAGAAGGAATATGTTTGCTTTTGCCAGTTACCAG